GAAAGGTGACTGCATAGATGCGTTAGAGGGGGAATAGGAGGCGCGGTTGCGCTGGTTATCCTCCTTTCTACACTCAGGGCCGCCAACTCAGAGCCCGCACCTTGCGGCCCACGTGTCTGGGCGCAAAGAGGGCCCCCCAGAGTTCTCCACTGAGACAGAGACTGCACCAGGCGGAGACGTAGAGAGAAAAGAGAAGGAGAGACACAGAGAGGGGAGGAGGGAGGACGAGACAAGACCCGGGAAAGAGGAGGCGAGCTACAGGCATTGATTGACCCTAGGGGCGTAGGGAGGGGGAGCGGAGAGGGATCCCCGAGGGGCCCAGCCCTAGGCTCCGGTGGGGGCGGGGGCGGGACTATCCCAGCCGCGGGACCCGAAGGCCGGCGCGGCCGCTGAGCCCCGGTCCGGTCGGCCCGCTCTTCCTTTCCTGCTGGTCGCAGATGCTGAAGCCGCTGGTGGAGAAGCGGCGCCGGGACCGCATCAACCGCAGCCTGGAAGAGCTGAGGCTGCTGCTGCTGGAGCGGACCCGGGACCAGGTCAGTCCTTCTGCCGGCCCCGGACCGCTCCCAGCACCCGGGTCCTCGCGTCCCATGGCTTTCCTACGGGGGTGGGGGACACATGCTGCATTGGCGACCCAGGCCCCCAGGCATCCTGACCCGAGTCCCGCCCTTGGAATCCCATCCCAGAGCCCCCTGTCGCCCTCAGAACGCGATCTTCAGGGCCGCCCCTCGGGTCTGTAAGTCTCACACGGGGCTCTGTAAATTTCACTCCCAGGGTCGGTCAGCGTTCCCACGTCTGGGTCTGTACATGCTCCCTCCTCCTCTTCCCCCGCGCCCCCCTCAGAACGGCCTGCAGGCTGGTTAACTTCAGGCCCGGGGGTTGCCGGTTTTCAAACCCCCCTCCTCACACTGTGGGGTCTGGTTTCATCCCCTCGGGTTGGACGGTGTGGTCTCAAGGTTTTCCCAGGACCATTCTTGGTCATCGCCAACTCCGCGTTTGGTGGCGCGCTCCGTGCGCAGCGCGCGCACGCGATCGGGGGGGCACCCCCAGCTCCCGCATCCCCCCCTCCCTTCTTCCCCCTGCCACTTCCCCCCTCTCTCCCCACCCCTTTCTGTCTCTGCGCCCAACCCCCCTCCCGTCTGTAGAACCTCCGCAACCCGAAGCTGGAGAAAGCAGAGATACTGGAGTTCGCCGTGGGCTACTTGAGGGAGCCGAGCCGGGTGGAGCCCCCGGGTACAGCGCGGGGGGGTGGCGCCGCGGAGGGCGGGCGGGGGGGTCCCGGAGGCCCGGGCCGGGGTAGCTGGGGCGGACCGTGCGATGGACGGGGGGGCTTGGGGAGTGGTAGGTCTGCTCCGAGGCGAGGTTAATAACGCCCGCGCGTGTCTGTCTCTGTGTCTCCCTCATTTTGCTCCCTCTGTCCGTCCATCTGGCTTCCTGTCTCTGTCTGTGCGGCTGTCGGGCCTCGGTATCTCTGCGCCCCGCCCCTCCCCTCACCCCTGCGGGGCCCCCGCCCTGCCCGCCGGTCCTCCCGCCGGCCGCACCCGCCGCCGCGGCTCCAGGGGTTCCCCGGTCCCCAGCTCAGGACGCCGAGGCGCTCGCCAGCTGCTACTTGTCCGGCTTCCGCGAGTGCCTGCTTCGCCTGGCGGCCTTCGCGCACGACGCCAGCCCGGCCGCCCGCGCCCAGCTCTTCTCCGCGCTGCACGGCTACCTGCGCCCCAAGCCGCCCCGGCCGGAGCCGGTAGATCCGAGGCCCCAAGCGCCTCGCCCTCCGCTGGACCCCGCCGCCCCGGCGCTCGGCCCCGCGCTGCACCAGCGCCCCCCAGTGCACCAGGGTCCCCGTAGCCCGCGCTGCGCCTGGTCCCCGTCCCCCTGCTCGCCCCGCGCCGGGGATCCCGGCGTGCCGGCGCCCCTCACCGGACTGCTGCCGCCGCCGCCGCACAGACAAGACGGGGCGCCCAAGGCCCCGCCGCCCCCGCCACCCGCTTTCTGGAGACCTTGGCCCTGAGCTTGGGGGTGGGGTGGGGGCGGGGGCTGGGGGTGAGGTAGAGACTCCAGCCCGAGGGCAGCAGAGGGACCCGGGCGTCGGGGCGAGCAGGTGTTGGGGAGGGCGGAGGGGCGCGCGGGCGCAGCGCGCGGGTGAGATGTGGTCTATATTAGAGTATCTATATAAATATATATTTCCCTGATTCCTGTCCCTTTTCCCTGTCCCCCTTGCGTCTAGGATTGTACCCTCTCTGCCCCCGGCCCAGCCCCAGCCCCTTCCCGAGTCCCTAGTGCATGGAATAAAGTGGTTATTAAATCCCCGTGTATCCCCGAGCCAGGGGCCTGCCTTTATGTCGGCGTCCACGCCCACTTCTGTCTCCCTTTCCTTCTGTCTCCCGCCCTCCCTTCCCCCCCCAGTCCTGCTCTCCATGGCCCAAGCCCCGGGGCAGACAGGTAAGTAAAGAAGAGAGCAGAGCGGAGACTGAGGTTGGAGCTGACACCAGGTGGAAAACACTGAAATAGGGCAGGGGGAGAAGGGATGGGAGCCTTTAAGGAAGAGCCGGATAAACAGGAAGGGGGATTAAAAAAAAAAATTGAAATAAAATCGACTCTGGTGGGATTCGAACCCACAACCTTTGAATCGCTCTTTCGTCACTAGAAGTCCAATGCGCTATCCATTGCGCCACAGAGCCACCTGGCGGGCGGCGGCGTCTGATGGCTTACGGGTACTAGCACCGGCGCAGGGGCGGGGAGGGAGAGGGGTGCGAGGGAATTGGGCGGGGCGTGCCGAGAGCGCGTGGTTGGGACGTCGCAGGCCTGCTCTGGGGCGGCAGCCGGCCCAAAGCACCAGAGGCAGGCGGGCTTGCGGGCACGCACAGGTGGGAGAGACAGGGAGAGAGCATAACCGAACTGCAGCGAGCGAGCCCAGAGCTCCGGCTGCCCTCTTGGGGGATGCTTCCCGCCCCGGCGCACCCCACTCCCAGATACGCCCCCCCCTCCGTGGAAATAAACTCGTTCCGTTGTAAATACCGGTGTGTCTCTGCTTCCTCCGCTCCGTCGGCTTCGCCGCCCGCTGTTCACCACTCTCCGGCTTTTAAAAAGGCCGGCTGACCCGCGGGCACAAGTATCGCGAGCCCGTCTCGCCCCTCTAGCCTCTTAGGAGGACTACGGGGAGGACTCTCTTCCACGCAGGTAGCGTGGCCGAGCGGTCTAAGGCGCTGGATTTAGGCTCCAGTCTCTTCGGAGGCGTGGGTTCGAATCCCACCGCTGCCAAGATGGAGTTTTTCTGGTGGCCTGGGCATCCCAGAACTCCTAAGACCATCTCCTCCGGGGGATGTAAGCTTCTTGTTTTTACGAAGACTCGCCATCCTCTCCTCTCCTCTCCTCTCTGGCATTCTGGTCGGCCTAGCTTGGTGCCAGCCAGGACGCGGTGGGAGCTGCCAAAGTGACCTTCCATTCTGCATAAGGTACTTCCGCTGTATGATGCATCCTCAAAAAGCAAACTTCTCTCCCCAAACTTGCACGATCTTCTAATTTTGTAAGTGCTGACCGAGTGTTCTGACGGTGTCTGGGCTCCAGTGCCCAGGTCCGGAAAGCTCAAACGACAGCACCTTCGTTTGCTGACATTCTCAGACTCGGGTGACAAGAGCTGCTCACGTACGAATCTGATACGTAAGAGAGTCCAGAGGGTACCCAGTAGAGACAAAAAAGGCTGATAAATAACAGAGCTCAGTGGGTAGTGGGTAGAGGGCTAAAATGTAAGGTTCCACCGAGATTTGAACTCGGATCGCTGGATTCAGAGTCCAGAGTGCTAACCATTACACCATGGAACCAACTTCAGGATATCTGCTTATGGGAGTGTACATATTACTGAAGTTCTTGGTCTGCGCGGCTCCCTCCCCTCCCCTCCTGCCATTCATAGAAGACAGAAGAAGAAAATAATATGCCTGCCGGAAGCAGTGGACACCTCTACGCAGCACCTGAAATACAAATTGAGATGCGCTGTGACGTTTAAAATCCGCACCATCCTCAGAAGACACGGGGCTTACTGAAAAGATTGTTAAGATCCATTCATAATTTAAAAATAGTGATCACGTGTTAGGATGATAAGATTTCATTGGGTTAAAGAAATTGTTATTAAAATTAATCTCAAAAAAATTAATCTCACGTGATTCTTTCTACTTTGTATTGTGCCTACTAGCACGTTTAAATTATCATAAAAGAGCTCTACTTTCCCTCCACGGTCATTCGTTCTACTTTTTGAAAACTAAAGTCCTTGACGGGGTTACTATCATTATTTCTTTTTTAAAGTCATGTAACAAAAAAATAAATAAAGTTATGTAACAGCACTTTCACGATCCTTTTCCCCTTGGTTTCGTTTATTATTTATTTATTTATTTGTTTATTTACCCCTTGGTTTTGTTTAAAAGAATATAGATATTACGTGTATTCAAGAAGAGATCTATGCTCCTTGAGAGGGGGAAAAAAGCGAACGCCCGAACAGGGACTTGAACCCTGGACCCTCAGATTAAAAGTCTGATGCTCTACCGACTGAGCTATCCGGGCTCTTGCTTGTTTCTTGCTCTACTCCCTATAAGGGCTATCTACCCACGGAAGTCCAGGCTCTTGGAAACCGAGGCTGATTGCATGCACGAGCGCAGCGCGCCGGGAGAAAGCAGGAGCAACCCCGCGGCTACCGCCTGCTCTTTCCCGGCCTCGCTCCAGCAAGGTCCCCGCCGGAGTCGGACCGCCGGGGCCGGAGCGCCGCGGAGGCCGGGCCGCTGCGGTGCCGGGACTGGCCGCGCGGGGCCGCTGCCGCCTGAGGACCTCTCCGGCGAAGCGGTTCATCCGGGCTGACCCAGATCCCCGCCACCCCGGCACCCACCCCCGCCCTGCAAGCCGCGCGGGAGCCTTCAGGAGCCAGGAGCTCCGGGTGCACTTTGGGGCCCTGGCCGACCCCATCCCAAGGGAGGGACCGAGATCGGGCGGGCGGCGCGGGGACCCGGGGGCGGGCACCGCTTGGGGACGGTGGTGCGCGGTGGGAGCGACGGGAGAGCTGACTCCTCTGCACGGTGCCCCCAGGGCCACTCGCCTGGTCACGCGCGGTTTATCCCGAGGATGGCTGACTTGCAAAGCCTGACTCACGTGGATGACTTGCAAGTAGGGAATGCGGGTGCCCCGTGCCCAGGCCCGGCTGAGAGGGGGAAGGGGTCTTGGGAGAAGTTGGTGACAGGGCAGACTGGGGCCCCAGGGTGTCGGTGAGCCCCTGACCGAGAGCAGGGCAGGGTCCCACTCATACAGGTGTCACCTGCTCCTCGCCTCGCTCCCAGCCTCTGGTCCCTCCCTCCCCAGTGGGACTCGGGCTCCTGATATCCATCTGGGTGAGCCCTGTCCTGCCAGCCAGAGAGACCGGCTGTGCCAGAGGCAAACAAACAACTATTAGGGTGGAGAGAGGGAGCCGGCAGTGAGCCAGGACAGAGACTGGGAGCTTCGAGGGAGAGAGGTGAGTGAGCCCCAGAGCATCCCAGAGAGAGCTGGGCCTTCCCACGGTGGCCCCCCTGTCCCTGCCCCAACCCCCCACTCAGCGGATCCGCAGCCACCGCTCAGCCGCTCAGCCCCGCTTTGCCCTCTCTATGCTCACCTCCTCTCAGGCCGACTGCTGCTGTGGCCACCGCTTGTTCTGGGGCATCCCTCCCTCCCTCCTCCCCACCATGGCTGTGTACCGCGTGTGTGTGACCACGGGTCCCTACCTGATGGCGGGGACACTGGACAACATCTCTGTCACTCTGGTGGGCACCTGTGGCCAGAGCCCTAAACAGCTGCTGGATCGCCTGGGCAGGGACTTCGCCCCTGGATCTGTAAGTATGGAGGAGAGGGAGGGGGGACCAGCAGGGTCAGGGCCAGCAGGGGACCCTGTCAGAGGGGAGGGTCATTCCCCCGGGCCTTCCTCCCACCCTGCAGAACTCAGGGAGCCCGCCCTGAGCTCCTCACCATCCTATCCTGGTCTCTGGCTTTGCTGGGGTTGTTGACACCTTCTACCCAGGCAGGACTGCCAGGAAGGAGCCCTGGGCAGGGGGGGTCGCGAGAATTTTGCCTGCTTCCTGGCTCCCCCACCTCGTAACTGAAGGTGGGCTCTGGGCAAGTCGCTTGCTCTCTCTTCTCTGGAGGGTACCTGCTTGCCTCCCTGCCAGGCCCCAGGATCATGTGCTGGGGGCCTGTACAAGGGCTCGGGGGCCAAGGAGGCTGGGCGATCCGGAATCCACTCTGCTCACACAGCATGCCTCCGGGAGCTGGGCTGCTTCTGCCTGGACGGAGGGGAGCCTTTTCCTTTCTTTCTTTCTTTCTTTCTTTCTTTCTTTCTTTCTTTCTTTCTTTCTTTCTTTCTTTTTTTTTTTTTTTGTATTTTTTTTTTATCGGAGTTTGATTTGCCAACATATAGCATAACACCCAGTGCTCATCCTATCTAGTGCCCCCCTTCACCCAGTCACCCCAACCCCCCGCCCACCTCCCTTTCCACCACCCCTTGTTCATTTCCTAGAGTTAGGAGCCTCTCATGTTCTGTCTCCCTCTCTGATATTTCCCACTCATTTTCTCTCCTTTCCCCTTTAACCCCTTTCACTATTTTTTGTATTCCCCAAATGAATGAGACCATATAATGTTTGTCCTTCTCCGATTGACTTACTTCACTCAGCATAATACCCTCCAGTTCCATCCACGTTGAAGCAAATGGTGGGTATTTATCGTTTCTAATGGCTGAGGAATATTCCATTGTATACATAGACCACATCTTCTTTATCCATTCATCTTTCGATGGACACCGAGGCTCCTTCCACAGTTTGGCTATTGTGGACATTGCTGCTATAAACATCGGGGTGCAAGTGTCCCCGCGTTTCACTGCATCTGTATCCTTGGGTTAAATCCCCAGCAGTGCAATTGCTTGGTCGTAGGGCAGGTCTATTTTTAACTCTTTGAGGACCTCCACACAGTTTCCAGAGTGGCTGCACCAGTTCACATTCCCACCCCCAGTGCAAGAGGGTTCCCCTCTCTCCACATCCTCTCCAACATTTGTTGTTTCCTGTCTTGTTAATGTTCCCCATTCTCACTGGTGTGAGGTGGGATCTCGTTGTGGTTTGGATTTGTATTTCCCTGATGGCAAGTGATGCGGAGCATTTTCTCATGTGCTTGTTGCCATGTCTGTGTCTTCCTCTGTGAGATTTCTCTTCATGTTTTTTGCCCATTTCATGATTGGATTGTTTGTTTCTTTGCTGTTGAGTTTAATAAGTTCTTTATAGATCTTGGATACTAGCCCTTTATCTGATACGTCATTTGCAAATCTCTTCTCCCATTCTGTAGGTTGTCTTTTAGTTTTGTTGACTGCTTCTTTTGCTGTGCAGAAGCTTTTGATCTTGATGAAGTCCCAATAATTCCTTTTTGCTTTTGTTTCCCTTGCCTTCATGGATGTATCTTGCAAGAAGTTGCTGTGGCCAAGTTCACAAAGGGTGTTGCCTGTGTTCTCCTCTAGGATTCTGATGGATTCTTGTCTCACATTTAGATCTTTCATCCATCTTATCTTTGTGTCTGGTGTAAGAGAAGGTCTAGTTTCAGGGATTCCTGGGTGGCACAGTGGTTTGGTGCCTGCCTTTGGTTCAGGGTGTGATCTTGGAGACCCTGGATCAAATCCCACGTCAGGCTCCCACTGCATGGAGCCTGCTTCTGCCTCTCTCTCTCTCTCTCTCTCTCTCTCTCTGTGACTATCATAAATTAAAAAAAAAAAGAGAGAGAAGGTCTAGTTTCATTCTTCTGCATGTGGCTGTCCAATTTTCCCAGCGCCATTTATTGAAGAGACTGTCTTTTTTCCAGTGGATATTCTTTCCTGCTTTGTCGAATATTAGTTGACCATAGAGTCGAGGGCCCATTTCTGGGTTCTCTATTCTGTTCCATTGATCGCCTTTTCCTAACTTGCACACAGGCATGCTTGGGTGAATGGCAGCTCAGGTTTATATGCCAGGACAGGTGGGGGCGTAGATGCTCCTTGCAAGGTGTCAGAAGGCCCCCGCGGGTCCTTGCCTCTCACCTGCTGGCTGTTTGGCCCTCTCAGGTGCAGAAGTACAAGGTGTGCTGCTCCGCGGAGCTGGGCGAGCTCTTGCTGCTGCGTCTACACAAGGAGCGCTATGCCTTCTTCCCCAAGGACTCATGGTATTGCAGCTATGTCCGTGTCACTGCACCCGATGGCACCTGTTCCCACTTCCCGTGCTATCAGTGGATTGAGGGCTACTGCACCCTAGAGCTGCGCCCAGGAACAGGTGGGCCAGAGGCAGCGGCTGGCCTATGTGGTGGACAGCATCCACGGGGGTCAGGGCGAGGGGCCTCCTGGAGCCCAGGCTGTGGGGACAGGGGTGGGGTTAGGGTAGCTGCACCTTTGAGTCCCCAGTAGATGCTTTCTGAGCCAAAGTAAGCCTCTAAAGCTCTGAAATGCAGGGAATTTCTGGGCCGTATATACCCCTCTAGGGACCAGACACGCACTCTCATCCACTCACACTACACACAGCCACAGATACACATGGTTTGCTTTGGGCTGACTCCCTCTGCACTCCGAGTGAATCCTTCTAGCATCCAGAGTGGACTTAAGCTGCAGGCAGAGTAACTGGGTGCCAACAGGTGCAGAAGCCCTGAATATTGAAAGAATTGAGCTGGGAAGGCTCTGCCGACTACTACTGTCTTTCCTGGTGTGGAAGATGTCCCTGTGAGGTGCTGTTAGGATTTCCTCTTGCCGCTGTGTGTGGCGGGGGTGGGGGCTTTCAAGGACACCGAATCCAGCTCCTTTGGTGTCTGGACTCCCTCGGCTCCTGAGCCCTCTGATCCCCAGAGGCACGACCAGGGCTGATCTAAGCGTTGACACGAGTCTTTGGGATGAGAGGTGATATCCTAGGTCGAGATGAGGTGAGTGATGGTCACTCACCCCCTAGGGAGTTCTTCACAGACCTCGGAATCCCCACCTATCATCATAACACGTCCATCCATCCACCACTTCCCCAAAAATGTTCATTCATCATTTGTCAAGTGCACGTTATGTGCACAGGGCCGGGGTGGCATGCTAGGTGCTGGGAAGACACAAAATGACTGCAATTTCTGCCCCAGAAGAGTCTTGGGAAGGAGACAAACATACAAACAATTGGGACAGCTGTTACAACTTTGGGGTAAGGTTGTCTTGAGTCACTTCTGCTGATGAATACTCTTGAGGGCACGGGGTATCGATGTCACTGAGTAATTGGGTTCAAGAGTTAGGGCGCTCAGGCCAGCTCTGCTGGAGGTGGTGGCGTTTGAAAAGAGACCTGTATAATGAGTAATTTTCATTCCCTGCAGCGAAAACGATTTGTCAGGACTCCCTTCCCCTCCTTCTGGATCACAGGACTCGGGAACTCCGGGGCCGACAGGACTGTTACCGGTGAGGATAGCATAACCTGACTTCTTTTCCCATCTTTATTCTAACTTCAGCCTCAATGAGACTGTTACTAACTTTGACCTCAGATCCAGCCTTGGGGGCCTGGCTCCAATCAGGATCCTCGTGTCAACCTAATTTCCATCTAAGGTTAAGTCTAGACCCAGAACACCAGTACTGACAGTTGTCCCTATACCATCCGTGACTCCACACTCAACCCCCACCTCCCTCAATAATGCTCTTGATATCACCTGGATGTCAGATATGACCCTGGTGTTGGCCAGTCTCAGCCCCAGCCTCACCTCTCACCCTGAAAACCAGCCATGGTCTTAATCTCAACGCAAACCTAACTCAGGTCTAGTCATCCTCAAATGCTACCCTGATCTGAAGCCTGGTGCCTTCAGGGAGAAGATTCCAATTCTTTGTCACCTACCCAGAAAGTGGGGGTTTCTGAGAGTTTTAATTTAAAGTCATGTCTTTATTTATTTGGGAGAGAGAGACAGAGACAGTGAGGAGGAGGAGAGGGAGAAGCAGGCTCCCCGATGAGCAGGGAGCCTGAAGCAGGACTGGATCCCAGGACCTTGGGACCGTGTGTCACCTGTGCCAAAGGCAGACGTTTAACAGACTGAGTCCCCCAGGTGCCCCAAAGTCACATCTTTAAAAGCTAAAGTCTATTAGTACCCTGAATTTGACTAACCACCCCTGACTTCTCTCCCCTGAAAGCTGGAAAGTCTATGCCCCTGGCTTCCCTGGCATTATAGACGTCAGCAGCTTTGAGGAGATGGAGACAGACAAGAAATTTGCCTTGACCAAGATGACACCTCGGGTGGACCAAGGGGACAGGTGAAGGGGGGCCCAGGCTGGGGACCAAGGTTGGAACCATGCGGCCGGGAGGCCGGGAAAGAGGATGGTGCAGGGAAATAAATTCCAAGAGTCAAGGGCAGCAGGGGCAGGGTGACCCTGAGGGTCTGGTGGGGAGGTGGCTGCAGGCGGACAGGGTCGGGTCGGGTGGAGTCTGGATCCAAGGGAGGGCCCAGGGCAGGAATGAGGGAGCGGGCTGCAGGTTCCCCTGACCAGTGTCCGTCTTTCTGCCTCCCCCGCCACCCTCCGCAGCAGCGGGAATCGCTACCTGCCTGGCTTCCCCATGAAAATTGACCTCCCGTCCCTGCTGCACATGGAGCCCAATATTCGCTACTCGGCAACCAAGACGGCCTCCCTGCTCTTCAACGCCATCCCCGCGTGAGGCCACTGCCCTCCCTGCACTCCTCTCACTGTCCCTTTGGCCTCTACCCTGCCATGCATATCCCCCCTCTGTCTCCCTGTCTCCTCTTCTCTGTCCCCTGTGTCCCCGTCTGTGCCCCCCATGTCCTCCTCTCTGTCCCCATGTCCCTCTCTCTGTCCCTATCTCCCCCCTCTGCCCCCATGTCCCATTCTCTGCCTCATTCCACCTCTCTGTCCTCCATCCCCCCCTCTCTGTCCCAGTCTCCCCCATTCTCTATCTCCCCATCACCTCCTTTTTGCTCCTTTGTCATCACTTCCCTCTCTATTCCTTGAATCTATGAAATGAGCTGAGTGCCTTCTCAGTGCAGAGGTTGGTCCTAGGCACGTAGGTGGGTAGGACAGGGAGCAGGACGGGAGCAGAATGGGGGACAGGACGGGAAGGCCCGGCTCTGAAGCTGTAAGGAGGTGAAGTCAGACTACCTCGCCTTTGCATCCTAGCACCCACACTTTCCAGCTGTGTGACCTTCATCCGCAGCCTCTAAGCAGTTCCCTCATTTGTAAATGATGGTAATAGCTGTGCCTACCTCCTTGGTCTAGGGGAGAGTAAGCCAGATGACACCAAGTACCAAACAATCTCTCAGCGGATGTGACTGAGCATTAGGATGTCATCTTCCACCTCGAGGAGCTCCGTGTCCCCAGGGAGACGTGTGGCACAGTTAGTTAGGACCCGGTGGGGCCGTGAGCAGACTGAGTCCATAGCTGAGGCTCTGAGTGTGACTTGGTGGAGGGGTACAGTCCACACTCCTGACCAGTGTCAGCAGGGGTGAGCCGGGGCCAGGAGGTGGCTTCCAGGGAGGCGGGTGGGATGGAAACAGGCTTTGGGCCATGGAGAGGACAAGTGAGCAGAGAGTGGGTGGGTCCTGGGCAAAGCCAGGTTGGTTCGGCCGGAGGACGGAGAGGCTCACCTGGCCACCGGTGCAGTAGCTGCATTAGAAGGCCCGGCGGAGTCGAGGGCAAGGGGCTGGATCCTTATCCTCGGGGCTTCTGTGCCGAACTGATTCTTTGGGAGAAGGACTAGTGGGAGGTGCAGATGTGGGGTGAGCAGGGAGCTGGGGGGTATCTGGGCTGGAGCGCAAGGCAGTTGCAGGTGGCTCGGGGCCTCAGGGCAAGGACCCGTGCGAGGCCCTGGCAGGGCTGAGGGACCAGGATCGGCTGAGCTGCTCCTCAGATGGACATGTGGGTCTAGGCCAGGGAAGGCCCGGAAGGCCACTAGGACAGCCTGCGGGGGGCTCAGAGAAGGGCCTGTGGGCTGAGAGAGCTGGCATTGGGCAGCCATCAGGGATTCAGAGAGGAGGGCTGGTAGCTGAGCTTCCATGTGGGCAATGGCAGGGTGTTCTGAAGGACGGTTGCACCAAACCCTTGGAAAAGGAAGACATTATCTTTCTTCTCCTTTCTCTCTGCCTTTTTTTTTTTTTTTTTAAGATCTTATTTATTTCTTTGAGAGAGAGAACGTGAGTGAGGGGTAGGGGGAGAGGGAGAGGGAGAAGCAGACTCCCCAACAAGCAGGGAGACCGACACGGGGCTTGGTCCCAGGACCCTGAAATCATGACCTGAGCTGAAGGCAGATGCCTAACCCACTGAGCCACCCAGGGGCCCCTCCTTGCTCTCTGCTTTAACACCGGTCTCCTGCCCCTTTCCCCTCGACTTTGGGGCCTTACTGGGCAGGTCTCAACAAATGCTGCGAACTGAGGGGCCGGCAACTCAGTGGACACTCAGGAAGTTGTCCCTGGGCTTGTCAGGTCATGGCACCCCCACCCTTCAGGGCACCTGAGCACACCTGCCCACCGTTCGCCACACACCCACCTATTAGATGTTGCATTCCCTTCCATTTGACTTGATGCAGTCAGTGAGTGATTATTATGAACCAGTATGTCGGGGCATCCGGGGCCAGTCCTGGCCCTAAGGGGCCCATAGCATACTGTGTCATCCCAGGTGGTAGGAGTACATGGGATTCACAGTGTAACACAGGGAGTGATGAGCGTTTTGTGGAAGATACACACCAGATGGGGCACCAGCCAGCCAGGAGCCAGTGATGGTCGGCAACAAGACGAGAGCTTGGGGAAAAGGCCAAAGCACCCATGAAGGTGATCTGTCTGCCACAAGTGGCACGTGTACGTGTGAAGTCCACCCTACGAAGCCTCAGTGGGCCACTAGACTTTTCTCACCCTTGTTAGGTGCCTCTGCTCTGGACGGTGACCTTGTCAGGTCCCTGCAGGCCTCTAGGCAGGGGGCACAGTGCCCCTGTGGCTCCAGGCCACACCCTCGCTTCCCCTCGCCCTCAGGTCCCTGGGCATGAAGCTCCGTGGGCTGCTGGACCGCAAGGGCTCCTGGAAGAAGCTGGATGACATCCGGAATATCTTCTGGTGCCACAAGACAGTCACTTCAGGTGCACAGAGCCAGGCAGATGTCCAGCCTCCTCCTGACCCCATGTTCAGAGCCCTCTGCCCCATTCTGGGAAGGGGACCCTCTCCCAGCCCCCTCAGGGAGACTGCAAGATCCCAGTGGGTGGGGCTCCTGGTTCCATGGGTGGCAACCTCACTTATTCCCCTTGGGAGCTCACATAACCTCCCCTTTCTCTGGGACGGGACAAGAATAGGGGAATGAGGACAGAGAGACAATCTGCTTCCCTGGGAGATGGCCAGGGGTCCTTTAGGGAGTTCTGATCCCGATCAGGGGCACTGACCTCTCTTCCCCTTTGGGGCCAGGCTACATCTGTGGGTGTAGGGTTGCTCGTAGGGTTGCTGTGAGGAAAGCCTAAACCATAGTGAGCAAAGGGCTGGACTCGAGCAGGCTCTAGGGGAGAACTCTCCAGACTGAACAGTGCCCTCTCTTGCCCCCCTAGAGTATGTTACAGAGCACTGGTGTGAGGACTCCTTCTTTGGGTACCAGTACTTGAATGGCGTTAATCCCGTCATGCTCCACTGCCTCTCCAGCTTGCCCAGCAAGCTGCCTGTCACCAATGACATGGTAGCCCCCTTGCTGGGACCCAACACCTGTCTGCAGACAGAACTAGAGGTAGGTAAGGGGCATTATGGACAAGGGATGGGTGTGGAGGGTAGGAGTGGGATGGCTGGGGTTGCATCCTGCCTGCAGGCCTCATCCTCTGGGCGGCCCCTTGCACATTTGAATTGGAGCAGGTGGGATGAGAGCCGGGGGGTGGGGGGTGGGGACAGTGAGCATGACTGGGAGCCAGAGGTGAGGCTTGGTGAATGGTATGAGTGAGCAGGACGGTGTCGAAGAGAAGGCCCTGCCTATGTTCTGGGGCCCCAGTGCTGAGGCTCAAAGAAAACTATTTTAGGGGCACCTGGGTCCCTCAGTGGTTGAGCGTCTGTCTTGGGCTCAGGGCGTGATCCAGGGGTCCTGGGATCGAGTCCCATATCCGGCTCCCTGCCAGGCGCCTGCTTCTCCCTCTGCCTGTGTCTCTGACTCTCTGTGTCTCTCATGAATAAATAGGTGAAACCTTGGGTAGGGGGAGCTATTTTAGAGCAGTGGAAGGCAGTGCCACTAGATATAAGAGGAACTGTCATGGAGATTAGGAGCTCGGAGGATGTGGGAGAAGATGATGCTCAGTCTCTCTGGGGCAGCCAAGCCCTCAGGCATCCTCCAGAAGGCTGGAGATGTGACAGTCAATTCTCAGTGTGGGGCCATTTTCCTGTTGTTGGATAGACCGACAGGGTCACTGCGTTGAGAGGGCAGGAAGGACCAGGTAAGGGGGGACCGGGAGAGGATGCCAGCTTATCCAGGCGCGAGGTTGTGCAACGCGGGACTCAGCTGGACCTCATTCCGGTAGTTCTGCGGAGGGTGGGGTACCGGCCTCGGGCCATGAGTGCAGGCACCGCGCATTATTGAGGCCCCGGCTGGGGTGCGAGTGGGCGGGGAAAAGAGGGGGCGCGCAGCGCGGGTCAGAGGGCCGGTGTGCCTTTCGCAGAGGGGGAACATCTTCCTAGCCGACTATTGGATCCTGGCGGAGGCCCCGGTCCACTGCCTCAACGGCCGCCCGCAGTACGTGGCCGCCCCGCTCTGCCTGTTGTGGCTCAACCCGCAGGGGGCGCTGGTGCCCTTGGCCATCCAGGTGAGACCCGGGCGGGATTCCGGAGGCGGGCCCAGCAGGCACAATAGCAGCCTCGAGCCTCACCCCGTTCTTATTCCTGGGCGCAGCTCAGCCAGACCCCCGGGCCCGCCAGCCCCATCTTCCTGCCCACTGATTCCTACTGGGACTGGCTGCTGGCCAAGACGTGGGTGCGCAACTCGGAGTTCCTGGTGCACGAGAACAACACGCACTTTTTGTGCACGCATTTGCTGTGCGAGGCCTTCGCCATGGCCACGCTGCGTCAGTTGCCGCTTTGTCATCCAGTCTACAAGGTCTGTGTGGGATCCCCCTCACCCCAGGCGGGCCCAGAAGGGACGGGCCAGCTCGGCCTGCTGCCCTGACCTTCGGCCCCTGTGCCCTCATCCCGCTCGCAGCTCCTGCTCCCCCACACTCGCTACACGCTGCAGGTGAACACCATCGCGCGGGCCACGCTGCTCAACCCCGAGGGCCTAGTGGAAAAGGTGCGGCCCGCGTCTCTGAAGCCCCGCCCCATCGCCGAAGCCCCGTCCGAGGCAGCTTTTCCCCGCCCACAAACATCTCCGGCCTCCAATCCCGTTCCACGGTTCCCGCCAGACCCTGCCCACAAGCCCCGCCTCTCCGCGCCGGTCCCCTACTCGCCCCGCCCACAAGCCCGGGCCCCGCCCCCTCGGGCCCAGCTTCCAAGTCTCCAGGAGGTGGGCAGGGCAGCCCCCCTCGGTCACAGCCCCCCGCCCGCCCTGCGCCCAGTAAGCTCTCGCGTCTCCCACTCCCACCCCCCACCCCGCATCACTGCTTTCTTTTGGATACCAAATACCCAAGCATTTCCTCTTATGCACATAGTAGGGCCACCACCTCCGCAGCCCCAACCGGTCCCCCTGGGGGATCGGCCCGAGGTCTTGGACTTCTTTTTTTTTTTTTTTGGACTTCTTGATTACGTGAAAAATCCTCTGGGCTGAGTCACTGGCCTTGTCTGGACCCCAAGCCAAGCGGTGTTGTGTTCTCAGGTCACCTCGGTCGGGAGGCAAGGCCTCCTCTACCTCATTAGCACTGCTCTGGCCCACTTCACCTACACGGATTTCTGCCTTCCGGACAGCGTGCGGGCCCGCGGTGTCCAGGCCATCCCCAACTACCATTACCGGGACGATGGACTGAGGATCTGGGCGGCCATTGAGAGGTGCGGGGTGCGGGCCTGGGCCCCTCCTGCAGCCAGTCTGGCCCAAAGAGGGCGCAGGGCAGTGTGGCTCATGTACTCATGGGGACCTTAGTGCTGGGTGGTCACAGGTGCTTCAGGCCCCAGCAGGGAGCACCCCAAGGGTGAGAGTTGGGGTCAGGGTACTTAATGAAATGATAGGTAGCCGCGGGCTGGGGAGAGGCTGGGCTGTGCATGGGCCCCGTGGAGGAAGGAAAGGACAGAGTGTCCAGAGGAATCAGGGCAGGTGCAACTGTTTGAGCTGGGGCCCTCCAGCTCTCCTCAGGGGTTCCCCACCCCCAGATCCCTGGGTGGGAAGGAGGCCCCGAGCACCCATGACTCAGGGGTGCCTAAACCTGGGCCCTCGGGTTCCATCTGGATCTGGGGGCTCCCACTGGGCCCTGATGGGCTCTCAATGGACACTGGCTATCTGGCTCTCCCCAGCCTGAGTGGCACTGGATCTTGGATTTCAGGGCAGGCCTGAGCCCAAGGTCACCCCCTCAGCACGAGCATCTCTTTCCTGCAGCTTTGTCTCAGAAATCGTGGGCTACTATTATCCCAGCAATACGTCTGTGCAGCAGGACTCGGAGCTGCAGGCCTGGGTCCGTGAGATTTTCACTCATGCATTCCTACGCCGGGAAAGCTCAGGTACCGACCCCCGACCTCGGGCTCCCAGTGACCCTGGGCTTCCTCCCCTTGGCCTCGCTTGTGACTCAGTTCTTATTTATGGACAAGGGTTTGAAGTCCATCCTATTATTAACCCCACTGAACAGATGAGGAACAGGCTTTGCAGATAGTAAGTGGCAGAGGCAGGATCCAGAGCCAGCTCTCATCATCCCCAAAGTCCTTGCTTTCAACACTGCACTGTGACCCTCTCATTCCTCCTCGACTTTTACTTGAGCCTGTCCATTCACCGCTGCTTGCTGAGCTTTGTGGTTGTGTCCCATCATGTAGTAGGAGCCATGTCCAGCCTCAAATGTTGAGGCTTCTGGAACCTTCTCTCATACTTCCTCATGCTTGTCCCCTCTAGCCACTAACCTCTTTCATTTCATTTGGCCTCATGAGTGACATGGTTCTGATGCCGCCTGATTCTTCCCTATTAACACCTGTCACCTGGCTTTAACTCTTCCCTCTTCTTCTGACACTGCCTGAGAGGCTTTGGCTCCCTCTTCAGCCTGCTTTGCTCAACTTCAGTGCCAGGCAGATGCCTCAGGCCACCCTCCCTTAAAATCTTGCCTTGGCCCCAGGGAGGAGATGTCCTCTGTGCCTCCCACCTCCTCCCAGGCCCCTGCCATGTCCCCACCCCAGCCGTTGTCTTGTCCTGCCTGGGTCTCCATCTCCTCTCTACCCTTTCATAATGGAGTGATCCTTTCTTGGCTTCTCTTCGGTACCTGATTGCATACTTGCAAATCCCCCTTCCTTCCATTCCCTGAAGAACTTTCCATTTTAGCTGTCTCATTGTCACCTTTGAGACCAGCACACAAAATCTATAAGCCATCAGTTGTCTTCTGGCCTTGCTCAGGGTATATACCCTATTGCTTCTCTTTGTAGCCTTCCTCCCTCGTGTCATGGTATTATGTGGGCTCCAGACACTGGAAAAAGTAGACAGGCCTTCTTCATACCTGGGTGCAGTGAAAGACAAGGAAAAGCTCAAAGTGGCACAAATGTCCACCCTGCAGTTCCCCCAGACCTGGCCCCCAGGGTGGGAGACTCTCAGGGCCTGGGATGCAGCTTCTCAGCTGACTTAGTGCGTAGGTGGCTTCATGGAGGGGCTCCTGGCTGGGGAGACCCAGGGAGGAGGGATGGTCTCTTGTCACCTGCAAATAGAACAAACTACTGCAACCCTACCTATAATAGGTTCTGAGGCTTCCCCCCCACCTTAAACAACAAATTTTAAACATATAGAAAAGTAGAGAGTATAATGTAATGAACACCTGTTCACCCACCGCCCAGATTCAACAAGCGCTAATTTGATCAATCTGTTGCTTTTCTTTATTGCTGAAGTCTTTTAAATTACACATATTTCATATTTTATTACTGCTCAGTATGCAACTAAAAAAAAAGTTTTTTCTACACAACCACGATACTGTCATCACGCTCGACAAAATTGACATTAATCTCCAATGTGGCATATATTCAAATTTCCCACTTTCCCCACATTTCCCCAATTGATCCTGTGTATTCCAGAGCCAATCAAGGACCACAGGAGTCTCTTTAAATTTCAGATGGCCCCTCCCCCTCTTTAAATCACATGATGACTGCCATCAAAAACCCAGGACTAGTTGTTCTGCAGTGTCCCACCTTCCGTGAATTTATCTAATGGTTTCCTGTCAACTGGAAGGGATATGTAAAGGTTAAATGTTTTTGGCAAGAATATTTCTCAAGTGATGCTGTGTTCTCAACTAAGATACATCATAGTTGGAGGCACATAGTATCAGGTCTTCTTACTATTGGTGATGCCAAGAGTGATTTCTGGGTTTTTATTTATTTTATTATCTGAGAGAGAGCATAAGCAGTGGGGAGAGGAGAGGGATAAGCAGGCTCCCCACTGAGTAGGGAGCCCAACATGGGACTCAATCCCAGGACCCCAAGATCATGACCTGAGCTTCAGGCAGATGCTTCACTGTCTGAGTACCCCCATGCACCGGGAGCCCGATGTGGGATTCGATCCTGGGTCTCCGGGATCGCGCCCTGGGCCAAAGGCAGGCGCCAAACCGCTGCGCCACCCAGGGATCCCATCCTTTGGAATTTTAAAAGATGAACCATCCCTGCTTTGCAAACCCACTGCTAATCCTGGGCTGGCCTGATCCTGACTGCACCTCCCCCAATGGCAGTTTTTTTTTTTTTTTTTTTTCTAGTTGGGGCTGTTTCCTACTTAAGACCTGGAGTAGGGGGGTGTCTAATTACTGTTGGCTGACTCTCCTATCTTACCTTATTCAACCTGTCTCTGACTCAGTACATCAGAGCCTTCTTCAGGTTGACAGACATCTCTGTGCAGGCTTATCGCAGATTCCTGTTTTAAGGCAAGGCACACTCATTAATTAACTTCAGTCAGTGTGCCTTTTGCTTCCACATTTTAAGGGGAGCGAATAAGTAAGAGGAGCTACGGCACAATCCCCACAGGTAGTCCAACCTCCTTGCCTTTTAATCTCAGCCCTCCAGGTTAGAATATCTACCGCAAAGGGAACATTCAGGAAGTTCACACAGGCTCCCTGGCAGACGCCCAGCCCAGTCCTTCCTCCAGCCCTCTGGGCCTGCTCTGCTGAACTTGAAGCCGTCTTTGGCTCATGTCCCCCTCTGTCTTCCCATTTCCCTAAATCCAGTTGGGTGGCCAATTCCTATTGTCCCCCTTGTGTCCCACTGTCACCACCCAGTCCTGGTCCTCATACTCCTGCACAGTGGCAGCTGCTTCTCTATAGGCCTCACCATCCCCAGCCTCTTGCTGCCCACCCTCCAGGTCCGTGGGGCCCCCGCCCTGGCAGTCCTCTGAAGTTCTGCCCAGAAACTGTGTGGCTGGTCGCACTGCTGTGACCTCGCCTCCAGTGAGTTACCCTCCCTGCCCCCTCACCTTGCTGCTGCCTCAATCTGCCTTCTTCCCTTCTTAGGATTCACACCAGTCAACCAATAATTACTGGGCTCTTAATATTACGTATTTTTCCGGGTGCTGGGGCTCAGTAGTGAATATGACAGACAAAAGTCCTGGCCTTCAATGGAGCTTCACATTCTCAGTGGGGAGATTCAGATAATCAACAAACAATTGTATTAGGTGGTTGGTTATAGAGCGCTCAGGAAAAGGAATTGGCATGTTGAGGTAGGGGGGTTATTTCAGGTAGGTGGTCGGTCTGGGAGGGCCTCTCAGGGGAGGTGATGTTTGGAGGAGAGGCCAGAAGGAAGTGAGAGAGCTTGTTCTGTGGATCAGTGGTTTTAGCAAGGAGGTGACATGACCAGATTTATGCTCCTAAAGGATCAGTCACTCTGGCCATCATGTGAAGAATGGGCTGTCGGGGGCAAGGGTGGAAGCAATTGGATCCCTGCAAGAGTTACACATTGGAGACTGGGTGGCTGGTGGTGGAGCCCGGAGGTGGTGAGATGAGATTGGCTTCTGGAAGTATTTGCCGATATGCATGGTACGAGATAAAAAGAGGAAAGAGCACACAGATTGTGGCCTGAGCAACTGGATAGAGACAGGGATGGGAGTGTTGTGTGTAGGGAGCAAGGCAGGCATCAGGCTCTGGAGATTTGCAGATGTGACATCTGGGAGACCTTATTGACACCCAACTTGGAGTGTCAGGTGGCAGCCGTAGATTTCCTGCCAGAATTCAGGAGCCTGCAGGAGCTGGCGGTGTGATTTTGGGAGTCGTTGGCCAGCAGGAGGCAGTTAGAGCCATTGATTTGGATGAGGGGAGTGATCGACAGAGGAGAGGACCCAGGGCTGAGCCTGAAAATGCCTTCCTCTGTCATCTTTTTCCCATTCAAAGCTCACTGACTCTTCATCTCAGGGGGAGCCCCATCTCTTCCTGCTGGGGAGTCTCCCCTAAGCACCTCAGCCCCAGTGCCCGATTCTGACCCAAGCCTGGCCTTGGGGACCCCTTCTGCTTCCATCACTGGGACCTTAGGAGAAACATACTTTGGTCACCCACCTCTCTCGCTAAAGCCCAGCTGTGGGTGTTCCACTACTGGGTACTTGGACAAATCTTGGTGAACAGGGTAAAGTTAAATCATTAGGTGCTGGGGTGCCTGAGTAGCTCAGTCTTTTGGGTGTCTGGCTCTTGGTTTTGGCTCAGATCATGATCTCGGGATTCTTGGGATCAGGAAGTCTGCTTGAAATTCTCTCTCTCTCCCTTTGCCTCCTACCCCTATTTTCATTCTCATTCTCTCAAATAAATCTTTAAAATAAATCAAGTGCTATCGGGGGCTGCAGATAAAAGTGCCTTGGCAGTCGGGGAGAAGAGCCAGCTTGGCTGTCAGCTTGAACTTGGCTCCTCCCTTGCGAGTTCTCCTGGCTGGACATTTTCTGGTTGGATCCCAGCAGCTGGCTCCTATCCTGACCCCATTCAGAGACCACAGACCTTGATGATGACTCTCTCTAACCTCAGCCCAGCCCTCATCTTAGTCAAAAAACTGGTGGCCAAATGCTCAGCCCTGTCATCCCAATCTCCCCTTGCAGTATGCCCCAGCCCCGTGCTGCCCCCAGGAATCCAGTCCCCTCCCTCCACGCCCTTTCTCCTTCCTCCCACATCCAGGCTTCCCACACCGGCTGTGCACTCCAGGAGAACTGGTGAAGTTCCTCACTGCAATCATCTTCAACTGCTCCGCCCAGCACGCCGCTGTCAACAGTGGGCAGGTGAGGCCGCTGGGGGTAGGAGGGCAGGCCTGGGGGCACTGGGCTAGGCAAGGTTGGGCTCAGCATGGGACAGGAGGCCAGTGTTGGGGTTGAGAGCATGGGTGGGTCAGGGTTGGGATGGGTTTAGGATTGGGGCTGAGGTTGGGTGGTGACTGGGTGGAGTGAATGAGTGAAGGGCCGGCTGATATTGGATGAGAACTGGGGTGGAGCGGGGTTCAGGGTGGTAATGGTGACTCCAGCTGGTGTTGTGCAGGGAGTAGAACCTGGACCTGTCATGGTGGGGACGAGGTTAAGGGGGAGTATCAGGTGGCTCTGGGTGGTGTGCTAACCCTTTGCTACGACCCTTGTTGGACTCTGCTCCTTCGTTAGTGATTTGCAACCCCCCAGTCCTGGAACACTGGGTGGGGAGTGACAAGGGGTGAGCCTCCTACCCCACATCTGGAACTTCCTACCCTATACCTCTCTGACTCTTCCCTTTCCACCATCCTCTCCTATTCCAACTGCCAGACCTGGGACAATAGGTGCAGGATGGGGGATGATGAGGGAACTGGTTCTCCCACCTCTGGCCAGCTGACTCAACTGGGGTGGGGTCTCTCTACAGCATGATTTTGGGGCCTGGATGCCCAACACCCCGTCATCCATGAGGCAGCCTCCACCCCAGACCAAGGGGACTGCCACCCTGAAGAGTTACCTAGACACCCTCCCAGAAGTGAACGTCACTTGTAACAACCTTCTCCTCTTCTGGTTGGTCAGCCAGGAGCCCAAAGACCAGGTGTGTACAGGATGTGGGATGGGGTGGGAGTGACGGTTTACAGGGCCTAGGCAGTGACAGTGGCAGTAGCTGTTCTAGAGAGGGCTTGGGGACTGAGTGCTGCCATTTATGCCCCCTGCTGAACTAGTCTTGGGTTCCTCGGTTTCTTTAGGAAATGGTAATTGATCCCCAAAGGCATACATTGAAGCAAATACCAGCTTAGTGGCTGGGGCACAATGTCTATTGAATTCACCAGTTTAGCAATCCATCCACCCATCCATCCAACCACCCATCCATTCCCATCCATCCGCCCATCCACCCATCTGTCCATCCATCCATCCATCCACCTGTCCATCTATCCATCCACCCATCTGTCCGTCCATCCATTCATCCATTCACCCACTCACCCACCCATCTATCCATCCATCATCCATCAACCATTCATCTGTTAACTGCTCATCCATTCATCTAGACATTCAACATACATTATTTTGGATTCCTTCTACATGTCAACATGGCACTGGGCACCAGGCATATAAAGCAGAATGAGACCTTCCTGACTTCAGGAACCCTATGGTTTGGTTGAGGAGGCATACAGAAACATGAAAAAGGTACCACAGTGCTGTAGGAATCATTTAGGTATGAACACATACGTCTTGAGCACTTGCAATGTGTCAGACATTGGTGGGCAGATATGAACCCTCTCCTCATGAGCTTAGTCTCGTAACAGAGGTGAGAATGGGGACTTGTGGAACCTGAATGAGTCTGGGCGAACCTGGGAAGGCTTCTTGGAGGAAGTGACATGAAAGCTGAAACCTGCAGGACAAGTAGGAACTTGGCAGGCAGAGGGAGGGCAGGGTTAGTTTCTAGGCAGAGGAAGGACATAACCAAGTGCAACAAAGTGAAGGTGAGTTGGTGTGTTGGTAGGATTGCAAATGGTTCAGTGTGGGCACAGTGTTTATTCAGAGGAGGATGGGGAGCCATTGAAGAGCTTTAAGACCCAGGGTGACGGGCCAAATCTGTGTTTAAGCAAGGGCACCTCTGTGGATGGTTGGGAGGGGCAGTTCTAGGGAGGAATAGATGAGACAAGGAGGCTGTCAGGTCACCTTGGCGAGGGGAGCGGCCCCTTGATCCCCAATTACCAATGTTTCTGTTCACACATGGGGTCATTGGTCCTGCCTCTGCCCTCCTGGTCTTATTCACAAGCTCTCTGATGTCACAGGGATGTCCTCATTTCTCATACTTGACTCTGTTCCGTGCAGATGTGTGTTATCTTCCTAACAAGTTTTAATTACAATCTCATAGCCTAGGAATGCCAGGAACTCGTCCCTGGATCCTGCTCCTTCCTGGTCCCATTTCCCAAGGGCTTGGAGACATTCATTGTCATTATAGGGGAAAGCACGCTGGGGTTTTTGGTCTATTCTATGACTGTTCCCAGTACTCTCACTCAATACTTCTGGCCACTGAATGTGTGGGGGACAAGCTGGGTATCGGATAATTTAACTCTACTTGCAGATAGTGTCAGATCCCACGGGTTCAAACTCAGACTCACAAGACTGCCCCCGACTCCCAATGCCAACCACAAGCCCAAGTTGTCACCTGTGCTTCTGATCCACCAGCTAAAAATCAGAGGTTTCTAAGACCACCCCCCTGCCCAGCAGTTTTGTCAGTTTTGGTCATTTGCTATAATGGCTCACAGAACTCAGGAAAACCAGTTTACTTATTAAATTACTGGTTTACTTTAGTATTTTTTTAAGAGAGAGAGAGAGAGAGTACAAGCAAGGGGAGCAGCAGGCAGAGGGAGAGGGAGAAACAGACTCCCTGCTGAGGAGGGAGCCCAATGTGGGGCTGTATCCCAGGACCCAGGGTCATGACCAGAGCTGAAGACAGATGTCTAACCAACTGAGCCACCCAGATGCCCCAAATTACTGCTTTATTATAAAACGACATAACTCAGGAACAGCCAGAGATGTGCTGGGCAGGGTGTGTGGGAGGGGATGCCGGGCTCCCATGCAGTCTCTGGGTGCACCACCCTCCCAACACCTCCACCTGTTCACCAGCCTGGAAGCCCTCCAAACTCCTGTTGCTAGGGTTTTTCTGTCTCACTACCTAGGTGTGATTGATCGAACATTGGCCATGGGGGATGAAGTCAACCTCCAGCTCCTCTCTCCTCCCTGGAGGTTGGGGGCAGGAATTGAAAGTTCCAACCCTCTAACCACGCAGCTGGCTCTCCTGGCCACCGCCCCCATCCTTACGGGCTTTCCAGAACACCCTATTAACGTAAACTTAGGTGTGGTTGAAAGGGCCTTATTATGATAACAAGAAGCCTTTAACACTAACGCTTACAGAATTATAAGGGTTTTAGGAGCTCTGTGCCAGGAATAGGAGGAAGCCCAAATGTATATTCCTTACTGTAAATCATAATATCACAGTAGCAAGGGATGATAGGCAAGAGATGAGGGTGAAGGGCTCCCACCTAGAAGCCAGTGAGGGGTCTCATTAAGTCAGGTATCTTGGGCGCCTGGGTGGCTCAATCAGTTGAGCATCCACCTTTGGCTCAGGTCATGATCTCGGGGTCCTGGGATCAAGCCCCACATCAGACTCCCTGCCCAGTGGAGAGACTGCTTCTCCTTCTCCCTCTGCCCTTCCCCACCCTGCTCATGCTTGCTCTCAATCTCTCTCTCAAATAAATAAAATTATATAAAAAAATAAATCAGATACCTCACATATGCTATTTTAAGACACAAAGTAAGTAAGAAGCTTACTTATTTAAAATGCTTAATACAAAAAAATGCTTAATACAGTGCCTGGCATACAACTATTCAATAAATGGTATTTGCATTTTTTTTAAGATTTTTTTTAAATTAATCTCTACCCCCAACGAGGAGATCAAGACCCTGAGACTCACAACCCTGAGATCAAGAGTCACGTGCTTCACGGATGGAGTGGGTCAGGTGCCCCAAATAGTAGTTGTATTTTAAAGGGAAGAAAACTAAACAAATTGGTTCAGAGGCGCTAAGCAGTTTGCCCAAGGTCACAGAGCTAGGACATAGGCTTTGAACCCAGCCTGTCATGTTTCTGCGTTCTGCTTTTTGGAAAGCTACACTATAGTTTTAGGAATTAGATGTCAATCTGGTAAATAAGACACACAACTGATTCTTTGAAAAGACCAATAAAATGAAGAAACCAGAGACAATTCCAATCAAGAGAAATGAGAGGTGCAACATTAGGTAGGAGTGGAAAGACAAACAGCCAATAATTGAGAAGGTAGAAGAAATTACAAGAAAATGCTACTTGTAGTTTTGCACAAACAGCTTTGGAAATCTAGGTGAAAGAGGTGATTTTCTGGGAAAACAATAAAGAAAACTTTGATGCCGGAAGACATGAAAACCACACATAAATAGAAAAGGGTGTAAAAGATCTGATCCCTATCCTTGCAAAGGGATATTCTATGATTCTATTAAACCTTCAAGGACCAAGTGATTCCTAAGTCACTCAAATGGCTCGGAAGTTTAGAAAAGAAGTGGAAGCTCCCCAGATCGTTTTACTGGGAGCCTTGGTACCAGCACCAGGCAGAGGAGTACTCTTAAGAAGAGAAGTGGGTCTCCCATAGAAGGTTCCAGTCCCAGATCCACATTTCCCACCCATGTGACCCTGGATATGCAATTAGGCCTCTCCAGGGCCTGTTTCTTTATCTATTAAAGTGGGAATGATAAGATCAGCCGTCTCACAGGATTGTTGCGCTGTCGTGATAGTCCGTGTAAAGTGCTTGCGACACGTTAGCTGTAATTAAGAAAATGAAGTGACAAACTTGTTTCACTTAGCTACAACAATCTTAAAAATATATCATTAGCCAACGAAGGCCAGTGCTACCTAATAAGACAATAATCCGACATGCGAGGTCTAGTTTATTCTAGGAATGAGAGGAATGAGAGGTCGGCTCAATCTGATGAAATCTAACAGCGTAATTTCTTACATCAATAAAGAAACACACCATGTAATCATCTAAATATGTGAAGGAAGTGTGTGGTAAGTGCGAACAGTCATTTCTAATGAAAACTCAGTGTAAAATGAAGCTCCCATACCAAGGTATTTTTTTTTTCTTTAAGAGAGCCAGCGCAAGCAGGGGCGGGGTGGAGGGAGAGGGAGAAGCAGACTCCTCGCTGAGCAGGTAGCCTGACATGGGACTCGATCCCAGGACCCAGGGTTGGAGGCCTGAGCTGAAGGCAGAGGCTTAACCCATGGAGCCACCCAGGTGCCCCCCTCTACTGAATTTTGATTAAAAGTATATTTCAGGGGGTGCCTGGGTGGCTCAGTGGTTGAGTGCCTGCGTTCAGCTCACGTCGTGACCCCAGGGTCTCGGGATCGAGTCCTGCATCGGGCTCCCCGTAGGGAGCCTGCTTCTCCCTCTGCCTCTCTCTGGGTCTCTCATGAATAAATAAATAAAATCTTTTCAAAAAAAGTATATTTCAGGAAACACTTGTCTTTCTGGTGAAGCAGCAGAGGCCTCGCCAACAGCAAAGTACTGTGCGCCCGGACTGCCCTGACGTAGCACTGTTCTGGAGGGCTCTGCCTGGGCAGGAAAACAAGACCAGGCGTGTTTATAAAAAGACTGATTGATTGATTTTAGAGATGGGGGAGGGGCAGAGGAAAAGAATCTTCAGGCGGACTTCGCAGGGATCACGGAGCCCACTTCCTCGAGGCCCCATCTCAGAACCCGGATATCGTGGCCTGAGCTGAAACCAAGAGCCAAATGCTTTAATCGACCGAGCCACCCAGGTGTCCCGAGACCAAGAATTTTTAAGCATCAGGGTTCTTGGCAACGGTTACATTGGTTACATCGTATGAAGGGTACAGAGGATGGGAGGCGCGCGTGTTGGGGAGGAGGCTGGACTGTGGAGGTGAGCTGGTTGAGCGGGCTGATCACGAAGAGGGGGGTGTGGGGGGGTGTGGAGGGCCTTGTACTGCCACAGGATGGCATCCGCTACAAGCTCACTGCGATCCTGGCCGTGGTTGTCCAAGTGGTTTGCCGTGCTGTAGGGCGAGCTGGTGCGGGGCTGTGGTGCTGGGTGCATTGGCAAGATGCCTTCAGACCCGGTTGTCTTGGGGGTTGAATTCTGTGCAACGGTGGGGTAGCAGGTGTCTCCTTGGTCGTATTTGCTGGAACGTGTTTATGTTGATTTCATAATGTGTCATGTTGATTTGTGTGACAGAAGTGCTTGCTTGTGTGCTTTGAGTTCACAGAGCAGTGGGCCAGGCCCTGGAGGGGCCTTTACAGGTGTTCTGGTCCGCAGTTTCATTCAGGCCCAGGTGCGGAAATGGTCTCCGACCTGAGGAACAGGCCCAGGGCTACCAGCAGAGGGAGCACTAACCTTGGGCTCTGGGCACCCGGTCCCATTCCTGCCCCAACGCACTCCCTGGATGTCAGGTGTTGGGTGTTGGGGTGTCAAGGTGTTGGTGGGGCTGCTCCGGGCAGGTAGCCTGGAGTGGGGGGTGCGGGTTTGGAGAGCTTGCGTTTGCGGTAGCTGTGGCTGCATCATGCCCTTGGAGCTACCTTGACTATGTGTTGGCAAACTTGCTCCTTCATTATGCTTCATCCCATCCTGAATGTCACCCCGATTTCTCCCAGAGGCCCCTGGGCACCTACCCAGATGAACACTTCACAGAGGAGGCCCCTCGGCGGAGCATCACTGCCTTCCAGATCCGCTTGGCCCAGATTTCCAGGGAGATCCAGGAGCGGAACAAGGGCCTGGAGCTGCCCTACACCTACCTGGACCCTCCCCTCATCGAGAACAGCGTCTCCATTTGACCCCCTCCTCTTACAGCCCTGGAAGAAAGGCTCCAACATGAGGACTTGTGGAGGGCCAGCTTGTCAGGGTCCTCCAGGCCTCCCGTCCTTGGTCCCAGTCAACCCAAGCCTTCTCTGCACTTGGGGACCTTTCTTCCCAGGATGGCTCCAGCCTCACATGGGCGGCCCCTGAGCCGTGAGGGACCAGTACAGCAGTGTCCAGGCTGAGAAGCCGCTGCCTCCCATCAAATGCACAACAGGCCTTTGGAGAGGAAGGAACCCCATCACCCCATCACTTCCCTCTACTGTGAAAACCTACCTCCTGGGGCGCCTGGGTGGCTCCGTGGTTGAACATCTGCCTTCCACTCAGGGCGTGACCCCAGGGTCCTGGGATTGAGCCCTACATCGGGCTCCCCACAGGGAGCCTGCTTCTCCCTCTGACTGTGTCTCTGCCTCTCTCTGTGTGTCTCTCATGAATAAATAAATAAAATATTAAAAAAGAAAAGAAAACCTACCTCCTCCCATTTGGGAGCCCCACAGGGACTCTTGAGCTCTCCCCTCTAGTTCTCCCCTTTCCTCAAACTCTTCCTCTTACCTGGTCACCTCGTTTTTGCTTTGCTCCAAACCTAGGACTAACCAGTCTAACTCCACTTTCTGGGAGAGCCTGGGAAATGGGCAAAAACAGACGTCTGCCCTGGGTCTGTCCGGTGGTCCCCTTTGACGTCAGCGTCTTTAAGGGGAGGGTTAGGATCAGAGAGCAGTTTACCTGGACTTATAGCCGTAGTCCTCAGGGCCAGGCTCCTTGGCCTTCCCAGCCATCGCCCTGTCCCCTCCCTCCTGTTTTCCTGTCCTTGAGCTCAATGAATTTAATAAAATCAAACACATTTGGCTCCCATTTCATTCTTTTTGTTTTGATGTATGTATATGTATCTGTCTGGGAGGCCAGGGGATGGGAGAAGGAGGGAGTAGTCCCTGGGTCATCTGCTCAGCCCCGCACCTAGCCAGGCCCTACCGTCCTGCCCTTACCTCCCAGAGCGTGTCATCTATTCAGAGGTGAAGGAATATCCAGAGTCAAGGGGCCGATAGGAAAAAAGTAGGTACTTTGCAAAGCTTGAGAATCCAGCTGCTGCTTCTAGTCTTCCCCTGGGATCTGGTTCCTCTTCTGGACGCAGGGAAAGCTCTGTCTCTGGCCCCCTCGTGGATGGGGGGAGTCATGATGCGCTCTGGCCAGCTGCTCTGAGCAGAAGGGATGCGGTCATCTCCAGGCTGGGCACTTAGCCGCCAGCACGAGCCCCTCCAGAGTTCCCGTCTCTCTGCCTCTGCTGTTCTAGAGGAAGCCCACGCGGAGACGAGACGGTGCAGCCATCCGCTCCTGTCTCGGAGGGACCAGGATGGAGCAGGGCTGGATGCAGAGCTGAGCGAGAAATACGCCTTCACTGGGTCTCCCACCTCTGAGATTTGGGGGTGACTCGTCATTGCAGGATTACTGACACAGATGGTGATCTGGGGAGTCTGATGTTCTCACTTCCAGCCCCCAAAGCCCTTAATAGACCTCAGCTTAGCCCTCCATATCCGTATCCAGTGATCCCTCCTCTGTTCCTCGTTTCCTTGACCTCAGATCCAGCCCCTTTACCTACTCTACCTGTGGAGTCAGATTCTATGCCTGAGGAACCCTGGCATAGAGGGTTCAGCCTCTCTCTGGCTAGAGTCACTGTGTCTTCAGCCAGTGACATGTAACTAATCCTCCATCCCTATAGCGCTGGTGGCAGGGGGACTTAATCACATGACTTTACTGCCCCCTAACTGGTGATCCATCCAGAGAATCCCCTGGGTGAGGGTTTTGCTAGACTGCGGAGTCTCCCAGCCCTGCTCCAGACCCCACCTGGCGGGGCCTCTGGAGTGGGGTCCTCCAGCTGCCATGGCCTTGGCCACCAGGGTTGGGGATGACAGGAGTGCCAAAGCCCTTCTCTCTCTGCCACAGGTGAGAGGGGACAAGTGCTGGGGGCAGGAAAGGACAGTCTTGGGCCATCGTTGGAGGTGGGGTTTTCACTTCCTGCACCTGTGACCCTCAGGGAAGAGCATCCCCGAGCCACGGTGCACGAGGAGGTGCACCTGGGAACAACTCACTGGTAGGTTCCAATCCGAGAATTTTGCCAAATCTCCAGATTCCATTCACCTTCAAACAAGATCAAAGGACTAAGAACTGGCCAGAGGCACCCCTTTGGGGCTGGGACCCTGGCAGAGGCTGGATGGTCGGTTGGGCCCCTTACGCCTGGCTCTGGCTTAGCGCAGCATGACAGGCTATGCTACAGTGGTGGCAGGACGCATGCACTCACGCAGCCTGTCCCTCCAGGAAGCCTGATACTCCTTGGTGTCCACCGGAGTTAGCATTCGAGGCATGCCCAAGCTAAAAATGCCCCCAAGCTGGAGAGGGAGGGATGGGGGTGGATCATTAGAATCTGGTTTCCCAGAAAGCCATCTTGGAGGAAGACACACCCAGCCATGCATGGGATTCTGCACCCACTCTGGGGACAGAATGGATGGTAGGGGGGGCTCGAGCCCTGTCAGATTGGGGCCTTCCTTCAGCCCCACTCTGGACCCCTGTACACTGTTTGGTCTGGAAAGCAACTGGTATAGTAGGGAGCACACCAGCCTCTTTTCCCAGCTGGCTCTGAGCCAGCGCCTCAGCCTCAGTGACCCCAATGTGTCATATAAAGGGGAAGGCCAAGAAGACCTGGAAAATCCCTTTGAGCATTGGCATTCTAGGATCTGCCTGCCTCACGGCTCCTGTGTCCCTGGACACTGTTCCAGGGAAGCAGTCATGAAATCCCCCGGCCCCATCTCTACTGCTTCCGGCTTGTGGGGAGACCAACCGACTGGCACACAAACAAATCAATCTTTTCAGACAGTTGCGGGTGGGGCTGGGAGACGCAACAGGGCGGTGTGTCAGCATGACTGGCGGTGGGGTGATGTTAGGTCTGGTGGTCAGGGAAGGCCCCTAGGGGGAGGTGCCAGCCAGTTGAGACCCAGATGACTGAACAAACCCACTGAAACAGCCTGGTGCTGGTGGGGTGGCAGGTGCCACAGACCATGTGTTCAAGGAACAGAGAGAAAGCCAGGATGGCTGGGGTAAGGTGACTGAAGGGTGGATAGGAGAGAGTCATGCATAGTCCTGAAGTCCGTAGTACGTCCTTGGATTTATTCCTTTTTCTTTGAAGATCTTATTCATTTATTTATTCATTCATGAGACACAGAGAGACAGAGACACAGGCAGAGGGAGAAACAGGCTTTCTGTGGGGAGCCCGATGCGTGCGGGACTCGATCCCAGGACTCCAGGGATCACTCCCTGAGCTGAAGGCAGACACTTAACCACTGAGCCACCGAGACACCCCTTGATTTGATTCTAAGGGCAACATCGTGTTACGCTCTGGTGAGTTTTAAGCAGGAGAGTGACCCCATTTGATTTTTTTTCTGTGTCCTAGGGAGGTGGGGCTTGCCTTGCAGGACTTGGGGTGGGGTAAGCAGGGGGTGCCTCAGCAGCAAGGACTCAGCTTCCTGTGTGGGTGGCCATTGCAAGCCAACTCAGCAAGCTCGCATCCTTCCCAGAGACCTCCCCTGCTCCCTGGTCCACCCCAGGTCCAGGAGAACCAGTTCTTCAGCCCAGTGAGCACCTACCCAGAGGCACGCAGTGTCCACGTTTTGGCCCTAAGTGGGGAGTGCCCCATCTGCGTTCTCATGCCTGGTCCCATCCATGTCCCCAGCCACGTTTGCATCCCTACCATCCTCCACTGTGCCTGTTTCTTTTAGGGACCTAATTCCCAACTCCAGACTCTTGCCCTCGTCAAACCATCACTCAACAGCCATCACTCCTGCTATTTTGGAGGGTAAAAACAGATTGGCAGAGGGAGACCTTATTGAGATTGTGTTATGATTTGAGAAGGCAGCTTCTGGGGGATGGAGATAGATCCCCACGGTTTGTGGTGACACCCAAACACTTCTACACCATTAGCTCCCTGCTCCGCTTCCCCAAATTCCCCTTGCAGGCCCTCTCGTGTCCCTGCCTCCTCCACACACTCCACTGTGTGATTTTACCACTGGATTAGAAGGTCAAGGCGGGCATCTCACCCCCACTGCCCAGGAGTCTGGTCCCAGAGGGGCCTGCAAGTGCCACTTCCCAAACTCCTAGGCCTCAATCCCCAGGCCACCCCGCCCAGCCCAGCTCCTCACCAAGATAAGCAGCCCCCTGGGGCACAGTCTCAGGAAAGGGGAGTGGCGCTACAAGGTCAGAGGAGGCTGGGAGAGCTGCCCTGCGTGGAATTTGTATTTTATGATGCAAATTTGCACCATCAGGCTCCTAGCATCCCCCCCCCCCCCCAGAGTCATCTGTGTGGCTGAGCAGAGCCCAGGAGGGCAGGCCCGACCTGCCTGACAGCTCCTGTCCTCAGCCCAGGGCAGCCCTGTGCCCTGGCAGATGAGACAGCCCTGCCAGTCACCTGGCACAGGCATGACTACCCCCAGCCTTCTCCCCAGGCCAACCCCACCCCCACCCCATCCCCTTAACCCATTCCTCTCCCCTCCACATTGCTACCCACACCCCACCCCTGCCTGGTGCTTACCCTCCTTGAGCTCTCCTCTCTGAGTCTCCCCCTAATCCAACACCATCTCTGATGCACTTCGCAGCCCTGACCTGGTCCTTGTCACACCAGCCCACCCAACCATTAGGAACCATGTTTGGGGCGACTGGGGGGCTCAGTCCAGTAAGCATTTGCCTTTGGCTCAGGTCATGACCCCAGGGTTATGAGATGGAGTCCTGGATCGTCTGGCATCGTCCCATATCAGGCTCCCTGCTCCGTGTGGAGCCTGATTCTTCTGTCTCTCTCTGCCGGCCGTTCCCCGTTCTTGTACTCTCTCTCTCTGTCAAATAAATAAATAAAATCTTAAAAAAAAGAATCATATTTCAAGAGTCTCCCAGGTGCCAGGTACTGTGCCAGGAAGTGGGGAGAAAACCCAACCAAACGACAGACATTCTAGCTGGGAAGATGGGCATCAATCAAAAATCTTAGCCATAAATAGTTAAATTTGGCCTTCTTTGATGAAGCCATTATCTTTTTTTTTTTAAGATTTCATTTATTTATTCATGAGAGACACACAAAGAGAGGCAGAGACACAGGCAGAGGGAGAAGCAGCCTCCATTCAGGGAGCCTGACGTGGGACTCGATCCCAGGTCTCCAGGATCACACCTGGGCCAAAGGCAGGCACTAAACCACTGAGCCACCCAGGGATCCCCAATGAAGCCATTATCAATCTAAGATCAGAAGGGAAGAGGAAACTAAACCAGGTCTAGGACGCAGAGTGGGACAGCATGTGCAAGGGCCCTGTGGTTGGAAGGAGGGGGTGCTTTGACTTCACTTCCTTGGTGCCTTTACTCAAAAGTCCCCTTGTCAAAGGCCACTTTCCTGACCCCTCTCTACCTAAGGTTTGCTCTCTCATACTTTACAATTGCCTTTCTTCCTTTGTTTTTTCTCTCCAGCGCTTAATCACTATTTAATATAATATTTTATTGATTTTATTAGCAGGCTGTACTGTCTGTTTCCTCCACTACAATGCAAGCTCCGGGAGGAAGGGCGGGGATTTGCTTTGGGTACAGGGCACACTTAGGGCCTGACCTAGGGCCTGCTGGGCACACAGCAGGGGCTCTGTTAGCATCTGGAGCTGGTGAATGGAAGGCACCCAGGGGGAGCAAAGGGGACAGTGGTCGGGGACAGACCTCAGAGACAGGCCACAGGAGCTAAGGGAATGGATGAGGTCATTATCTAGAAGGTCAGAAGGAGCCACGGCCAGGCCTGAGCTGGAGTTGGACGGGGTGGGGGTGTCATTTCACTCCCCATCTCCAATCACAT